TGTTATGACCTGCCCACAATGCTCTAATATCAATCAAATAGCTGTTGTCCCCTCGGCCTTGATAAGCGACACGACACGACCGAAATGGCGTTACGTCACACCGTAGCCTCTCGTATAATACAGTTAAATTACCTATAGGGTTGTCTTCTTATAAGTTTTGTGTATTCTTGTGCTCATTCTTAACTGGATGGGCGAGATCTAAGATTGACCATCCTTGCTCGCTCGTTCGTTTTGGCTAAAATATAACGTCCACTGCTGGACAAACGCTTCCCCCAAGGATTTCCAAAACGACCGGGCCTTCGCTGTGCGTATCCAGGCACCTTCACCAGATCGTCGGTCCACGTAGTGGGGGCCTGCCCACACTACGTCTTCTGGCTTTTCTTTGGTCCTCCTTACTCCTTTCTCAATAATAAATATACTTCAATACTTCAATCTAGTCTTAAAGGCATGCTGGTTATAACCAGGATCTTCTAGTGTTCTCTTTCAAATTCTGACGGTATTGAAAGAGACTAGAAAGTTTTTAAGTTTATTTTTCTTATTAATCGTTAAAGTAAGAACCTAAATTGCTTCGTGCGTTCGTCAGATGTGGATTGTGAAAGATGGGAATCAGGGGACCATCCTTAGGTACCTTGATTATTTTTTTATGTAGAACAAGGCAGGTATTTAACCGCAATCGCACCTGATGTTAGGTGAGATGCAGTCTAGGAGATGGTTTCCCGATGATATAAGGCAGTGTTTTTCAACCTGTGGGTCGCGACCCCCTGGGGGGTCGCGAAGCCTTTGGAGGGGGGTCGCGAGAGGTCGTAAAAACTACCTCAGTAAAAAAAAACAGTAAAGTTTTAAAGATATATTATCAGAAATCGAATTATGAAAATGCGTAAATGTTGTATGGATTGAAGTATTCGGCCCCTACAACATCTTTGGAACATTATAAAATGCATGAAAAAAAAAGTGAGTGGTCGGGGGGTCGCGAAATATTTTTTTCATGCTAGGGGGGTCGTGTCATGAAAAAGGTTGAAAACCACTGATATAAGGGGAGATCTTACTAGGGATCTCTAGGGTGTTCTTTTATTTAGAAGGATATCTCATCAGAGATTCAAGTCCGTTTATTATTTCAATAGTAGCTTACAAGGTGATTTATAACTAAATTGTATGACTGTGGTGTGATAAATAACAATGATTGACAGGAAAATCCCGTAATCCGGCCGTTATTGTAAGACGTGCATGTTGATTAAGGTGGCACTAATGTGAATGCAATATAGATTTGGCTTTTAAGTTTACCTAATGTTTTATTTTTGTTTATTCATAATTTTATGATGCCACGTAACTAAGTAGCACTTCTTTGCAATGAAGAGATAGTATAATGTGAAAGTTAATTTGTTTGTTACATAATGTAGATACCTGTAAGTACCTATACCTAACATAATGCGCTTACGGGACTATTCCCACCTCTCGTTCCCACCGCTGCGCCTCCTGTGTTGCCAGGATCTACTTACAGCTTGACCACTAATAACCCAACCAGTGAAGGTCAAGTTTGTCCCGGGGAAAGTTAAACTGTCCATGGACCCGCAACGAAATCAATCAGAAGAACATAGGAGGAGTCCAAAGTTAGGTTAAACTGCTCCAGTGCAAACCTAATGCTCTTGCGCTTGTTATAACAAACACTTCAGATTCTAGTTTTGACCGTTTCATTCATGAATTAGGATCTTTCTGGGTGCACCTAAGAGCTGCCCACGCGCAGTCCGCGTGTCTCTATTCAAAATAAATAAAAAACGAATTCGCACACTCGGATCACGCGGCGATCACGTCCTATGACAGTGGCCTGCCTAATTCACGGAGCAAAGTTAGTTTGCATTTTGTTAGAATTTGTTTAATATTTTATTTAGCTAATATTCTAAACATAACGGTATGTAGGATAATAAAGGAACATAGTATCTTTACCTTCCTACTTTTTCTTTATTTTTTCTTAGAAACTTGAAATCTGCAACAATTTGTTGAGCCTAATATTATTGTTGTTTACAGAATAGAACAATAATGACAAAAGATTACTTTTAAGTCACAGCCTAGCTAACTTTTGTAAGCATCAATGAGATATTATGCATTTTTGTAGTAACTACTGAACAGATTTTGAAGTGAATGATATTGAAAGACGCAAGTATGAACGCTTCCACTGTCCTGCCTTTGATCAAATCTAAGATATCCTTCTAATTGTCTCACCTACTTGTAACTTTGTAATTTAAACAAGGTTTATTTGAAAAATCTCCTTGGAGTGTCCTTCAGACCAGGTAAGACCGTGTTGCTATACGGATAGCTTTTAGTTTCATCTAAAACTTGTTTGTTTATGTCTCTATAGAGTTTAGTCGGTCTGTATAGTTTATTATTATGTACCTGTGTAATGTGTATAGTTTATTATTATGTTAGTTTTTTTTCACACTGAGAAAACTCTTGGCCTGCATCTTACAGATGCCAAAGACAAGCCAAGATCATCCCAAAAGTCAAAGCAGCTTCTCCCGGAATCCTTAACCACAGAAGAACTGATCTTCATCCCTCCGAAATAAAGTCTTGTTTGAAATTGCCAACTAAGCGGTCGGAGCCACAGAAAAACTAATAAATTGTAAATACTGAATTTTAACTTGATAAAACTGAGCGGTTTAACAAAATTATCTTTAAATCGCGCTTCAAGAACAAGCTGCTAAATGATCACTTTTTAGTCACACGCTAAGACCCAAGTCTATTCAAGTCAGTTAGCTATACATATAATATTGTAGACAAACACGCTAACGCTTTCGATTTCGCTTCTAGAGATAAACTTGCCTTTCGTGACACAGATCTACTACACATCTTAAAGTTTTGAGAAAAGATAAAAATGTACTACATCTTCATTTTTGGAAAAAAAGTTCCAAATAGATTACAGGATCACTTAACACCAGGTGCGATTGCGGTCAAATACCTGCCTTGTCTTGCATAAAAAAAAATCATAGCAAATGATAAGAGGTGTATAAAAGGATTTTTATAATCCTTTTTCGTATATATTTACGATTTGGGAAGGATTATACCGAAGCATTTTTCAATTCCCAAAAATGTAAGAATTTGCATCAGTATTTTCAGAAATTTTTATACCCCTTCTGAACTTGGGTCTTTTCCTTCCTTCCTGAATTTATTTTTAGATCATCTCTATTTACCTAACTGACAAGAATTCATCGAAAAAAGAAGGAAATGTTTTCAAGAAGACGCTTATTAGAATCACGCGGGCCATTAGTCGCGGCCTTGTAGTAAAATATTTGAAATACTCGCGGACGCAAATAGACCAATCTGCGGTGTGCCGATGCCGTGACGTTTCCAAACAGAAAACAATATTGCATTATCGCATCTGTCAATTGTTCTCGGGCGCGCGTATTTGGTATTGTTGTGGGAATGTCGACTGTTGTACAGAATGCAGTAGTAGTTAGTAGTAAGCAGTCAGTAAGACATGTTGGTTTAAGATCAAATATTGCATTTTGCACTTACATCATCATCATTATCAGCATTAAGTCTAGGCGCAGATCACGGACTTTTAGCTGGCCGATAGTTGGGCCCGATTCTAATTTGTGTGAAGAATCGGCCGATACCAAATCGGCGTAATGTGCGCACGTTCATTCATCTCCATACTGATTAACAACCCGATCCAAGTATCGGCCAACTAAAAGTCGGTGGTCTGCGCATATGCTTATGGAGAACAAAAATCTATTTATTTTACCACAGTCTATCTTTGCACTTTACATGAAGTTAAGTTTGTATAAGACTGAATTATTTGTATTTACGTCATCATCAGGCCATTTCTCTACAACAGGAGAACCACCTAATTTACCAGAGACAAATGGAGGACTGCCCAAATACATTTTTGTTGCGGATCCAAATTCCAATGGCGGTTAACTTTCTGTTGTACAAACTTAGAGTTGCACCATCTTACTTGAACTTTAACAAACGTCAAATATCTGGCTAGCTCCATACAAAAAGCACCGGTTATCGTTAAAGTTAGGTGGTGCAACTCAACCTTACCATTTTCTTATTGGATTTTTATTGGCAGTTACGATCCTGGCTTCAACTGTTTAACACCGCTAGTCAAATAAATAATAACATAGTTAGGTGCTTGTAATAAGTCTTTTTGATTACCTTCTGAGTCAGTTTGGCACATGTTCTCGTTATTTAATATTCACGATTTTATGAGTAGGTATGTAAATCATTTGGATGGCGGCTGGCAATGTGCAATGTAGTAATTAAAAAATAAATAACGTTTTCAGAGCACCTAGGCACTGCATTTGTTAATCGATTTGAGTTAATTATACACGTTCTTGGAAGACGTAGCGTGGGCAGGCCTCCTAATAAGTGAACCGACGATCTGGGAAAGGTCGCGAGAAGAGCCTGGATGCGGGCAGCGCAGGACCGTGCATTGTGTAAAACCTTAGGGAGGCCTTTGTCCAGCAGTGGACGTCATTTGGCTGAAACGACGACGATACACGTTCTACCATTTGAGATTATTGTGGGTCAAGTCAGACCTGTCTGGTCAAATTATAATGAACTGCTACATGCATAGGCATCCGTCTGACAGGGGCGATAGGGCTCAATCCGACGAGTTAATTAACGTGCCCCCAAACATGGTTAAGCATAGGTGCTGTCAACAATATAATAGACTAGCGGCCGCCCGCGACTTCGTACGCGTTAATCCCGTTTTACCCCCTTAGGGGTGGAGTTTCGTAAAACCCTTTCTTAGCGGATGCCTACGTCATAACACCTACCTGCATGCCAAATTTCAGCCCGATCCGTCCAGTGGTTTGGGCTGTGCGTTGATAGATCACTATGTCAGTCAGTCGGTCACCTTTGAGTTATATTTATTTTACCTATATTTCTGTTGCAAAATAGCATTCAACCAATAAAACATATATGAATGTTGCAGATATGAATGTTGTAAAGTTTAGTGTTATTTACCTACGCCATTTCTAAGTTAATCTTGTTTGTTGCAGTTGATGAGGAGGCTGCGGCAGGTGGTGGGCAACAGACTCTTCGAGGCCATCATGAAGGCCACCTTCTACGGCCAGTTCGTCGCCGGCGAGGACCAGAACAAAATCAAGCCTACCATCGAGAGGTATGACGCAAAATGACAAAGTTTTTAGGGCAATGAAAGAACACATTTTTGCATAGATTAGGTACTTATTCAATCCACTGCTGGACAAAGGCCTCCCCCAAAGATTTTCTCAACAACCGGTCCTGCGCTGCCCGCATCCAGGCACTTCCCGCGACCTTCACCAGATCGTCGGTCCAACTAGTGGGGAACCTGTCCACACTACGTCTTCCGTCATTACTGTAGCTAAGCTAAAATACATAGATGCCTGTGATGGGAGTGGATTCACCCAATTCCAATGGTCGAAGGGGATCGGACCCTCGAACTTCATTGGTCCGACGTCAAAGCTGTTGTGCCTTTTTACACAAAGGTATCAAGAAGCTTTCTTTCTGAAATCATACCCGTTTTATTCCCCGTCTATCTACTATTACTGCTTCTAAAGCTCTTAAATTATCTCAACCAAAGTTGTGATTAACTCAACCGATGTCAATTTCTTATGTATTTCTCCATTCCAGGCTGCGCTCATTTGGAGTCAAATCGATCCTCGATTACTCAGTGGAAGAGGACCTGTCTCAAGAAGAGGCAGAGAAGAGAGAAGTCAGGTAGATATACACTAGTTATTCTATGAATATACCTATTTGTCAAAACGTTTAAACTTTCAGCAAGGGTTTAGTAGAATGGAGTGGATCACCCAGCTTGTGCCAAGTCTGCGTACTTTATAAAAGCTGAAAGTTAAATTTTAATTGCATAAGCACAGGATTATTTTCAAAACAGTTTTTACTAAAGTGTACTGTCACAGTTGGAAAGTTGACGTCATTTAATTGACAAAGTATACTTTTTATGAGCCGGTAAAACGCGATTTTCCTGTATATTTTATACTTACCTATTGCAATTGGTCATCACCATTGCTGTAGGCACATGACATGCCTATATCATCACTTTTACCTAAGCCAATTCTTTGGTGAAGTAATTCAATGAAGTAATTCTTTCATCGCCCGCCTAGCTTAGCCGCCTAATTTACTACTGCTGAAATTAAATACTAGGTACACTAGGTACAGCTGGGTACAGTTAGGTACTACGGCAAATTTAAAATTTCACAGATGTCATCACTAGTCTTTGTATGTGCTTGATATAGGGGCTTTATCAAGAAAAGATGTAATTAATTCAGTTTAATTGTATGTGTAAGCCTCGGTTTCCATCAAAGCGGAGAGGAAAGGAGACGAAAGAATAAACAATTTCGTCTTCGTTTTGGAAATCTCATTGGTTTTCCAAAACATATCTGGAACTGGAAACTGGGTCTTACCTACTACACCCGTATTCACAAACGATGCTTGTTTAAATGAATCAGCAAATTGACACAGCGTTGAATAGAGCTCTGTGATTGGTTCGTGTGTCACTCTGTGCGTCCACGCGCACTGTGAGACCTCATAGTATGTTTGTGAATACGGCCGTTAGTCCTTTGCGGAATCCGCGTGCGTGTAGCCGTGTAATATAAAAAATATGTATGAAATACGAAATAATGAAATGCGGGCAGCTCGCATTTGGACCAGATCCGCACGCGTGCCATAATCCGCATCACAAGAAAAGGCACTGCACAATACTGCACATACCTTTATACTGTGGCTGATGCTAAAATGTCTTGGTAAATAAATAGTGATCTTACATTCTAATGTCAGCTTCGACCTTCTTCTTTGAAAAGCGATTTCTTTGCAACTAAGTCTAATGTATGCAAATGTTTTATAATTGTGGACGGAGTTTACTGAAAACATTGCATCCTTGTACGATTTTAAAGAGGCTGAGAGGAATTTTACTAACTATAAAGACGCATAAGTGTACGTACTTAGTCATATTTAAGGAAAATTCTTTAGATTTCGGGATATTAGATGACTAAAAGTGATATTTCAGTATTATTCAGCATTTTAGTCCAGAAATCCATACCTTTTACTCCATCTGTTATGGAATAATCGCTAAGGCAACCAACCATTAACTCCCCTACAATAATATTATGTAAATAGCCAGGATCGATCGGCACTTACAACAATCGAATTCCTACAATAACTTCACGAAACATAGTTACTTAAAGCACATTTTATGAGAAAAGGTGAATGTCATTTTCGTTACGACAAAGTCCATAGAAATACTTGTTTGTAATTAAAATGAAAAATATCCCATACCTTGGGTCTTGAAATCGAAAACCCAGACAGCTAGAGCTATTAAATGCTGTAATAACTGAAGAAACCTTCACATTTACAATAATTTAAATTTAAGTTATATTGATTTAGGAAATTGACGAATTTCTGACAGTTTTGTTTTTATTACGGTCAATAATAATTTAGATTAAATATATCCACGACTTATAAACGTTCAAAGAGAACTTAGCATCCTTCCTAAACATGATAAGAAGTTGTAAAACGGCAGCCAAAAAGATGGCGGATTAAACAGATTTGATCTCCATAGGTTTTTTTATTAAATTTTTTTCTTAACAGATGATCTGAAGGGACGTATTACGCTTATTTCAGAGGCAGCTTGACCAGTGAGAAACTGAACGAGTTGCTCGTAAACGGACCAAGAAACTTGCGCGACATAGCTGTCGTTGGGTTTATGTTTCATTTTTTTTCGCTTCTTACTTATTAGTTTTCGTGTAGCTAGTCTCATTCGAAAGTACAAGTTACCAGTTCGGCAAAATAAAAAAGAAATGTTCCTCGTCATTGTCATTGTATTTTTACGATCACTTTCATTTTTTTATCTAGATTTGTAGCGTATTTAAGTTGGTAATGTGTAACGTTTTCGTATTTTTGGATCTGTCTGTCCCTGTCACTCATACCAGCATCTTGATAAGAGTGAGAGGGATAAAGAAAATCGAGAATACAAAAAAGTTGTTACCTACGTTTAGCCCCAAAGATTTTTTCATTTTAGTTCAATTTAGTTGGTCATTTTCAACTTCGTTTTATTAATCATCGTTTATTAATTGTTCGTGCTCAGTTAGCTACTGAGTGATTGCTTAAATACAAAATGTTGTTTGTAAGTTTTGTATAATTGGCGCTATTATTTAGTTGACGTACGTAATTATTATTTGGTAGTTTTTGTTTCAAACTAGAGCTAACTATATTTTTTTATTTCATTTTTATACATTTCATTTGCCTTTTGATTTACTTTTTTACGAACGATAAACATTAAATATCAATTAGGAATCAAAGAAATCTAGAAAGGCGTTTTCAATTTACTTGCATCACATTTTCGAAGATTGCTTAGATAACCGCAGAGATCCGTATTTGCTCAAAAAGCTTTTTTTTATGAAAAAGAAGGGAAACGAGCACACGAATCACCCTTGCAAAGTTGCTGGCTTCGATGAACGAGAATTAAATTGAATGGAGCCAATGCTAACATAACTTTACATTTCGTCAGAGTGTACTTTCTTTAGACCAAAAGTTCAAATCTATCTAATCGATCGAGTATCTAGACCAAAAGGACTCATGGAAAAATCAGACATTTACCTACAGGGCCGTCTTTAACCTACTAGGGGCCCTGGACATTTAAGGATTAAGGGGGGCCCTTATCATCTGGAAAAAGGTCTTATTAGCAGATGGGGGCCCCCTCGGTTGCGGGGCCCTGGGCACGTGCCCAAAGTGCCCAGTGGGAAAAAGGGGCCTGTTTACCTACACTTAAAATTTTATAATCAACCGTAATTAAATTCGCTACAAATTCAACACAAACTCAAGCCCATGTAGCTTCAAAACTAGGGTTTCTGCTCGAGCTTTCTCGAACTCGAGAAAACTCGAGAAATTTGGCTTCATTCGAGACGAGAAAAAAATTACCGGAGCTCGAGAATTCTCGAGTTTCGAATTTGAAGCTTTTAATATTCTTGAAAGCCTATTTTATTAGACAAAAGTAAGTTTTTAATTATTTAATAGGTTAACGTTGCTTTTAGACTGGTCTACTCTTTCCTTTTTTACCCGACTGCGTGACGCAAAGGAGTGGTAATGTGTCTAACAGCCTATGTATGTATGTTTTTGAAGCACTATAGAGACCAAACTATTGGGTCGATTTTTATGATTCGCACGTCAATCGATTTCTCTTAGTCCGGTGAGTGTCACTAAAGACAAATGACGTTAGTAAAAATTCAATATGGCGACTACCGGATGCCATATTGTGAAACTCAATAAACTATGGCATGTGAGGTATCGTTAGATTTGTTTTAACTGTGAGAGTGACACTAGGTATATCAAAATTGGAAAATATAAAAATGGCCGACTTTTGGCGCCATAATATGTATTAAAAAAATATCTCAAAACCCATCGAGTGGGGTATCAATAAATGATTTTAAATAGCTTGCAAAATGTATGCTCTTTAACTAAAAGATGGAAATAAAAATATTATTGAAAAAAAAAAAAACAAATACCCAACTGGGTAAAAATGAACTGAAAAGATAGAAATAAGACAAAGTGTAAAAAAAATAAAAACAAAAAACCCAACTGGGTAAAAATGAACTGAAAAGATAGAAATAAGACAAAGTGTTCACAAATGTAGTTGGAGGAGGGAGATCAAACACTTATCATCATATCATCATCAACAGTCCTTTACAGTCCACTGCTGGACTATGAGCCTCCTCCGCGGGGAGAGTAGGGGTTGGTGACAAATGTATTAGGCCCATTCTGCCGTCACCACACGGCTTATCACCAACTACTTATCACTAACAAAAAAAAATAGTCATTTATGTCTCCGACTGCATTTGTGAACACTTTGTCGTGTTCCTATCTTCTCAGTTCATTTTTACGTAGTTGGGTTTTAGTTTATTTGTATATTAGATTTTAAAAAACCTGTGTTTTTATCAAATTTCAACCGATTTCAACAATTTTAATTAAAAGACTCGAGACCCGAGAAAACTCGAGACTTTGGCCTCGAGAATTCCCGAAACTCGAGAAAAAAAATAGGTCGAGAAATCAGAAACCCTATTCAAAACCGATTGCTTTTGACTCAATTAAGTAATAGAACTAAAACGATCAAAAACCATCTTTTAATACAAGAATATTGTGCTTCTAGAATAGACTAAATTTTGTTTGCTCAAAATATTGAAGTCAACTTTTTTCAATGCCGTCACGTAAGTTCTCACCTCAAACTACCGGTTCGTTCGTTCTTTTCAGCATAAAGACGTCCACTGCCACAATGGCCTTCCCAAGGATTTCCATAACTAGTTTACCACTAATATCATCATCTCGGGTGCTTCTAATATTACTGCATCATTATTGACTGTGCAACAAACCAAAATCAAGACCAATGTCGTGACCGATACGGCTTCTCTGCCCAATGACGTCACTGTACAATTAATCATCTATTACACTATCAGTAAGATGAAATCATCTATTTTCTCTCTCAAATATTACATAGTAACAGCTAGCTATTGGGAAGTGTGGTACTGAGCTAGGTATGGCCTAAGAAGATTAATAACGTCTATGAAAAGTGCTAGCGGTATGCGTAGGTATGTGTGACTGATTACTATAATTGAGCGTGATATGAATGTGGTTTCCTGTATGATTAAGCTAAGGTGTGACATAAAAGGTGACCTTGGCCTAATAATTAATTTGCCCAACCAAAATCTATGGTGCCATTAGCTTCTGTCAACGACTTGTCCTCGTAAATTCAGTATGTCACAGAAATTCATACCAAAAGTGCTATTCTATGAGAGTTCTGAATCCCCTTAGAAACAGTATAATGTGACTCTTGCTCGTGACTTGGACATTTTCTGCTCCGCTATTTCCAGTCCCTGTATTTTTTTTCCGAGACAAAACCATGGGTTCAATTTATCGCTAAATTGTATCAATTTCATAAACAAAATTTTTTAATGAGAAACTAAGGCCCATAATAACAGACGGTGTAACGCAATTGCAACGAAACTGCAACTTTCTGATGATTCTTATGAATGAAACTGAAACTGAAAGTTTCGAACTGGATGCGTCATGTGTGGTCTCTCAACGGACGCTATGGCAGAAACTTAGATGCAACTCAAAAGTTTCGTTGCAGTAGCGTTTCACCGTCTGTTCTGGGCCTAAGAGTTCTTTGTCTTGTATGAAAGTATGGACTAAATGTATAGAGAGAGATAGAGATAGCTTCAATATAGGCTTAAAACTATTTTACAGATCCAAAGCACGTTCTAGAGAAAGTTATTGACACATAACATGTGCCAAAATAGTCCCAATATCACAATCTAGGTCACCCAGCCAGACTTCTCGGAGACGAAATGATGATTGTCAAGACATTTTGAACTCTGTACACGTAGATATAAAGACTGCACAGGAAATCACAAGGTTTTTTGCATTGCCAAGTAGTGCAGTTATAATTGGACCAATGAAAGTAGTGAAATTAATGTCAGTGTTATTCAATGAAGCAATAATAATTTGTTGATTGAGATTTTGTACAGAGAGAACAAAATTAAAAATATTAGTTTAGTTTCAGCCTTCGTTGCTCTGTGTTCAATTTATCTGTATTTTTACCCGAATGCGCCAGAAGGAGGGTTATGTTTTAAAAAAAAATGTACAGTCACTGTCAAATAGTCTGTGACACCCAAAGTGGCCAAAAAGTTGACAACACGTCGACGTGTTTTTCCACTTTGAATTTTGAAGTCGACTGTTCAAGCCAAATGACGAAAGCATGCAAGGAAAATAAGAAGTCATAAAAGTACGTACAGAATGTAATATTTCAAATAAATGCTTTTAAACAACCTCGTAGATGATTTGGCTAACGTCCAGCCGAAAACAGTTCAATAATGTCGCCCGTCTAAATTGGCTATTGTCTCGTGAATAAAGAGGTACTTCTTGAAATAATTTAGGGACATGAATTGTCTAATAACAGCAAGCCAATTGACGTTTGCGTCACGCCATAATACATACAATTTTAATTGTTGAAAGTTCTATACAGTTGAATCTCCGGAATCATAAAAGTAATTTCTTTTCTGCAAAAAGCGCTTTTACACGTCATCGTATAACTTTAACCCTACCACTGCTTCGGGACAATAAATGGACAAGTGCTGAGGAGAAGCGGCACAAAAAAACTTGGTTACATTCATAATATGGTAGGAAACGGACTCTATACTTTTGATCCTTGTTCAAATTTTCTGACCGTATGTAGGTAGATAGATAGATAAATGGTTTATTTGCAAAACACATTGACACACAAGAAGCAAAACGTAAGATTAATAAACACAGGAGTAGCAGGAAAGATATAGTACATTACAAAGAGAAAGAAAGAAAATCCTGCGCGCTAAGGTATAAGTATGCCGCAGCGATGCAAAAAAGCTGAGAGCTCAGTGTAGACACTGCTCTGAAATGATACTATACTAGGTATACTAGATACTATGTATTTTCTTGTGTGTAATGTGACGTAGCCAATTTCTGAAAAAATTCTCTTTATTGTTAAAAGGACTAACACTTTACCATAAGCTTTAGTGACCAGCACACTATGAACCATAAAATTATAGAGATATTTTCAAAAAGCCCACCTTTTGACCACTGTTTTGGCATGAATATGATTCTTAGCAATTACATTTCTCCTTTGAAAATATAGACTTACCGTCTGCTGCAATTAGTCATAGAGTACAAAAACTGCACGTTGTCAACCGCAAAATTGGCAGCGAACAACTTTATTATGTCGACGGAACTATTCTCGGCGCGTCCTTTGCGTGCGCTGAAATATGTGGAATGCACCTGTAAGTTCGACATGTCAAAATTTTCCATATCTAAAAGCTAAAACTCCTAATGATCTTAAGAACCTGACGTAAGAGACAGTGACGCTTCATCTTAGAAAGTCGTGAAATGGAAGGGTTAAAAAATATACCGGAGCGTGTTAGCATAAATTCTAAAAACCTGCCAAAATGGTACTTTACCAATTTTAAATTCAATTGCCACGCTATTCCCTAATTTTTTCCATTAGTATGGTTTTCACTTATCTTATGATATGAACGAAAGGACTACTCTAAAGCTTCAAGCACACCAACGCGTGCAGATCCCCATCGCCTGCGCGATCATAGGCCAATGACAGGTCGCGCGACCCATGACAGTTCTCGTGACTTGTCATTGGCCTATGATCGCACCGGCGATGGCAATCTGCACGCGTTAGTGTGGTTGAAGTTAGCCAGTTCTAAATGAACTTAGAGCAGTAAGAAGTAGGAGAAAGTATCTTATATCCCAACTAATATTATAAATGCGAAAGTAACTCTGTCTGTCTGTCTGTCTGTCTGTCTGTTACGCTTTCCCGCTTAAACCTCGCAACCGATTTTAATGAAATTTGGCATAGAGATAGTTTGAGTCCCGGGAAGAACATAGGATAGTTTTTATCCCGGGTTTTGAAACAGGGACGCGCGCGATAAAGTTTTTCTGTGACAGACAAAATTCCACGCGGGCGAAGCCGCGGGCGGAAAGCTAGTTATATTATATTCTAAAAGAATTTCTCCACAAGAATCACCTCGATTGTGTCAAAAATCCTGTATTCTCATTCCACATATATCACAGTGTAGGTATACCTATAGATCGTGTCATCCACGAAGATGCGCCCCACCATTCTTCTGTTAATGTTTGAGTGTTATCGGTACACGCTAAATCATCCATGAGTGCACACGCACACCAGTAATGACGCTCGGATTGCTCGGATCAAACTCCCCGCACCCAGCGCTTCCCTCGACCAACAATTGGTGGGGCGCGTCTTCGTGGATGAAACGATTTATGCCCACCTCTTTTTCCACCCTTTCTACTTGTTCTTCTACAACTGTCACTGGCCATTGCAGCGCTTCAGTGTCCACCTACGGAGACAAGCAGGAGGAGGGCCAGCTCAAGCAGTACCACGTGGAGCAGCGGTTCGCGGACCGCCGGTACAAGGTCACCAGCGCCAGGACCTACTTCTACCTCAATGAGGCGTCTTGCGAGAAGAACATGGAAGCGTTCTTGAAGAGTATCGACGCTGTTGCCGGTTAGTATTTTTCAGCAGTTAGGTATTTATTTGTAAGGTCTCGTTGACAAAACTACGTACGAGTATATTGGCTGATCTAAACCTGGGTCTACGAGATAATGGAATCTAAGCGATCATATCCCATCAATGCTCTGGTGAGTCTGGTGACATTTGGTATTCCTGGAGATGTATTTAGAAAGAAAGAAAGAAAAAACATTTATTTCGTACCATTTATTTAATATTAATAATGTCTCATTCTGGTCTTTCGTTGTGTTTGAAATCATTAAAATAATGTAATATTTAATGTAATCAAACTCTTTATATTGTCCAGGTATCACCAAAAGCACGGGACTTATGGCTATCAAACTGACAGCCCTCGGAAGGCCGCAGTTGTTGGTAAGTTCTTTATTTGAAATAATAGAAGATTGAAAGCTGGAAGACGTAGTGTGGGCAGGCCCCCCACTAGATGGACCGACGATCTGGTGAAGTCGCAGGAAGTGCCTGGATGCGGGCAGCGCAGCACCGGTCATTGTGGACATCCTTGGAAGAGGCCTTTGTCCAGCAGTGGACGCCATTTGGCTGAAACAAACGAACGAAATGTTTGATATAGATACATTAAGGGTAAGGGAGTCGCTGGCTGGAACGCATAACGTAAAAAAAGTGGCAGACAAATCGTACAGGAATTTTATTTAAAAAAATAATACACTCTCATCATAAAACACACACTTACACATAAAGTAAAGACTTTCTTATTATTGGGCATAACTATTTATTAGTTTTTTCCTTTTTATTTGTGTTTACAATGGCATAGGTGGCTTTTCAAACTTAAATTGTCTTTTTTTTGTTACTAGTATAAAGTGCATTTACAACGCCATTTAATTCCAAGCCTCGTACTCCAGTCCAAAAGAGACAGGTGTAACCTAGTTTGGGGACCATTAGCAATACTAAGTTGTAACCTTGGTTAAATAAAGGATTTATTTATTTATTTGATCACTTACATATTAGCTAACAGTGTTCCCTTCATAATGGACAATTTGACATCATTCTCCAATAATTCGAAACCACATCTTTTTAAAAAATACCCTTCAATCTGGTCTTAAAAACTTAATTAATTTCAAATTACCTGTAAATTACGATTTTTGGTCGCATTGTAATTGAAAAAAGTAGTTTATTTGAGTTGACAAAATAGTGACGTCACTTGATTGTAGTGCCATACAAAATCTATGGGAGAGTTTCGTTTTGACAGTTTTAAAAAGTACGTCAATTGATTGGTGGTGTCAACATGTCTAACCTTGGTTAAATAAAGGATTTATTTGATCACTTATTAGCTAACGGTGTTCCCTTCATTCATAATTTCTCCAGCTACAACTGTCGGAGGTGATCATGCGCGCACGCAACTATATGCAGCAGATAGCCGGCGGGACCGGCAACGTGCTCACGCACCACAAGACCATCGAGGACCTACAGCGGTACTTCGGGGACAACAGCTCCAAGCCGGAGGTGCAGGCTTTCATGAGGAGCATCACCTCGGATAAAGAGGGGTAAGATATGGTTCATCTTATATTTTTTTTTATCCACTACGAGTAAGCTCTTGGCCTGTATCTCACCTGATGGTAAGTGATGATCAGGCCGAAGGTGGAAGCGAGCTTCACGCGGAATCCTCAACCACGGAGGAACTGGCTATCTTACGTCTTACCTCTAACTGCCGGAACACAACAATGCTGTTAACATTGTTGTTATGGCGACAGACTTAGGTAAGATGGTGGTAGCTAGCCAGGCGGACTTAGAACAAGCCCTACCACCAACCAAACCGAACAGAAAAATTTGCCCCCACTGGGAATCGAACCCGGGACCTCTGCGTCTGAAGCAGGTGGTCTTACCACTAGACCACAGAGGCGGTTTATCTTGATCATCGAGGATCTGCAGCGATACTTCGGAGACAACAGCTCCAAGCCGGAGGTGCAGGCTTTCATAAGGAGCATCACTTCCGATAAGGAGGGGTAAGAACTCTTTTACATTGCGACATGTTGCAGCGATTTAGTCGCGATGCAGCCTCGATATTTAATAGGTAACAGGCGCAAAACATCTACCTACACACGATACTAAAAGCAGCAGTACAGTCGAGCCGTTTGTATCGCTGCAAAAAGTCGCAACGTGTAAGCTTCCTTAAATTCAAATATTTATTTGCACAATTTTGGGGAAACATAATGGTCTTTTAACTAGTATAATAATAGAGCTGGAGGTGCAAAAGAAATATGATTTCGTGGGATTGAAAACTAAGCAGGTCTATACTCCTGCTAAATTGTACTCGCACACCGTAAAATCTCGACAAGGTGTACCGAGGTCTTCGTAATTCTATGTTCATAAGCTCAGGGAAGTCCGGAAGGAAAAGGTGCAAGCGAAAGGTTGTGATTTCAAATCCCATCTGATTCTGTTTTTTTTTGTCAAGTGAACCACCACCACGTTTATCATGGTGAATACCACTGCGCTGATATTATGATTTCGGGGTTCATTGCACGGGAAGTACATGGTCACAAGTCCCAGGTGTCGATATGACATCTAAATATAGCGTTTGTTGCTCATCATTCCGTTATGTCATATTCCGCGCGTGTTGCGTGGCGGTAGGGCAACGTCCCAAGACGGAGTTATTTCGACAATTAATCACTCTCACACTTGGCAGCGTTCCAGGATTGACGTGGATGATAGTAATCAAAAATTGCTTATCTATAAAATAGAGTAAGTATGTTAGGATAGGTCACTATGGGACTTATCAAAATATTCAAATAGAATCGAAATTAAAGATTTGGCATCATTCGCAGCTCGTGTATGTAAAATATACAGACATTCTTATTAGCTAATCGAGATTACTTCCTTTTAGTAACTATTAACACTCCAAAATCTGAGAGAAAACATTTTTCTTCTTCAGTTGCAAGTTAACGGTTGATATCAAAATGCACCCTAAGTGATGAAGCTTCTGTATTATTAACCTCTGTTACATCGTTAATTTCGTTTTTGTTAATGGGCTGCATATCTCGCTTAGCTCGCCGCCAGCCAGACATGGGTCTGACGTGTCTGTTCGTCATCAACTATGCAGACTGGATGGTACTTGACGTCCCGAGTGTCATCTCCAGTGCTGATACTGCGAAACTGACCCTTGAGACTCATTATTATTCTGCCTAATGCAATTTTTGGGTTTAATTTAAAATAAGCTACAAGGCAGATATAATTTTCTTTGTGTGTTATTTTGATTTTGATAGATTGTGAGATTTTATAGAGTTTATCTATATTCATGTTAACTATCTGTTTGTCTAATTATTTTCAAATTCGTATTCTTTTATGCGATAAGACGTCTTTAAGTCTTGTTAATTTTTACTTCAGTAAGGAAGCTGGCACTACTTTTTTGTCCAAATCGTTAAGAACTACTAGGTACTAAGAACAGTCCGTCCGTACCTGCATGTTAGTACTACTGAAGTGGTTTATCGAAACTTTTTTGTAAGAGTCGATGCTCAGATGTAAGAAGGAACGCTATGGTTGCCTTATGTTACTACTGTACTAAGATATTGTTATGACCTATTGTAAATGTAAACGTACCTCTTTCGTCACAGTATCGTTCATCTGTTCCCGTGGTCGAACATCCTGGACGCAGACATGGGCCTGTCGGACTCGTTCCGGGTGCCTGACCCGAAGACGGGCCAGATGAGGCGGCTCATCTCGCAGATATCCCCCAAGGAGGAGGAGATGTTCCGCAACATGCTCCGTCGGCTTAACGTTATCATCCAGGTAAATTGTGTCTTTATTAGTTATTTTTTTTAAGTGTTTCATAAATTTTAGTAAGATGAATTGATAGTTGGGCGAGCTGCTAAGACCGTTAGGTCTCGTTTTATTTTAAAATGTTGACCGATTCCATCTACTTGTCTTAAATATTGGCAAGAAATTGTTTTTCTATATTGTATAAAAATCACGCGTCCTATCCTTCGGTAGTAGGTTTTTAACATAGGTTTTGTTTGGCCTTTATGTTCAACCTTTGTAGCAAAAACGCGATTGAAGAAAAAATATCCAGGGTTTTAAACGACGATGATCATATTTACTGATTATGATAACTTCTCTCTGAGTACCCAGTTTCCCCAAAGTAGTGGTAGGGAATTCTAGATTTAGAAGCGTATACCTGTAAACTAATGGTTTATGGTTTATGGTTTTAGATTATATATTTTTCTAAAAGAATACAATTATATTCACTTATAAGAAAAATACAGAATACACTTTATAATAAATAAGCAGCAAGTGCACGCAACAGACAAGCTCGTTTCATTTATGTATTAAATGAAACTAGGTACAGAAAATAATGAAGTTAAAATAAAATAAAATAATAACAAACCGCTCAAATGCTATATTTTTCCAAATGATAAAATGAAGAATTTAATCATGATTGCAGGCAGCCAACGAGGTGGACGTGCGGATCATGATCGACGCGGAGCAGACGTACTTCCAGCCGGCCATATCGCGCATCTGCGTCGAGATGATGCGCCGGTACAACAAAGTTAGTACAGCTTTTAATACAGTACAAATACACTCAACATCAAATAAACCGCACCTTCCGCGACGCGAACTTTAAATATTTTCTTCTGACACAATTATGGTACCCCAACAATATTGGTGTTATTTGAAAGCCCAATAAATATCCTTAAAGAAAAATACATTTCATCTACTCTAATATTATAAAGAGGAAAACTTTGTTTGTTTGTTTGTTTGGTTGTAATGAATAGGCTCAAAAACTACTGGACCGTTTTTAAAAATTCTTTCACCATTCGAAAGCTACATTAACCATGAGTAACATAGGCTAAATTTTATTTTGGAAAAACATAGGGTCCAGGCGTCTACGCGCGCGAAGCCGCGGGCGGAAAGCTAGTTTCTAAATAAATGATTAACATATTATTATACCTACCATAAATGTGACTTGGAAATAGACCTCACTTTGGGCTCACCTCTGGGAGCAATTAGACCAATTTTATGGTTATAAAACCAAATAAAGATCTCACGTGTCCTCTTTAACAGATGGATAGCGATTAATCCCAACTTAACAGTTTTAAAGTCATAAAAAATGGCTATAGCGTAACTACCTATTTTTTGAATCAGAAATGACTCTGGATCCTTGTATAGACACATTTTTTGGGGGTAAAAACCTTTCCTTTAATGAAATGAAATTTAGAACTAGGCTTTCAAATGGTACCAATGTTGGTGGGAAGTGGGGATGCATACGTTTGATAAGTGCTTGTCGCGGGAGGTGCGATTTATTTGATGCCGAGTGTAATTTCATTTCGGAAGCCTAAATATTTCCTATTTCGCTAAAGGTTTTCGGAATGCAAGTATCGTTGAAAACGTACCTCTGTGATAGATAGCTTGTATCATGTATACCCGATAGATGAAAATGGATTTCTGCATACTACTGTAATGCACAAAATTCACTGGCATTTCAGAATCAGGTGAAAGTGATGATAAATCCGAAGGTGAAAGCGGGCATCACTTGGAATCCTCAACCACAGACCAACTTTTGATCTCATTTTGACATTACCGTAGGTAGTATGTATTTACAGTTATAGTCCCACGATTCTGTAACGTCAAAATTAAAAACTAAACCCAGTATTGATATTAGCGCCCTCCGGTAATGTCTTATTATATGGTTGTCCAACGTGGCAAAAATCCGATATTGACGGTGGCGCACCCTTGTCAATGTCACGGGACTGTTTAGTGCAGGACATCTTAAAGACTGAGTTGCACCATCTTACTTTAACGTCAAACGTCAAAAATCTGTCAAACTTCATACAAAAAGCACCGGTTATTGTTATAGTTCCAAAATACTGAACTTTCCTATGCATGACATTAACAGTGGGGCACCACCGTCAATACCTGATTGCTGGTTCCGATTTTTGCCATGTTGGAAACCATATAGTTGAACGATGGTAGCGCCCCCCTGTCATTGAGTTTGGTGGGACAGCTCAGCGTGGGTCATCTGTACGGTTAAAATTAGGTGGTGCACCACCTAATTTTAACCCACCCTTAATGTTGTCTTCTTGACGTACTTTTTATTTCTTCTCTAAAACCTCACATTTTTGTTGAACAGGAGAAGTTCCTAGTATTCAACACGTACCAGACGTACCTGAAGAACACGTACAACGAGATCCTGACGGACCTGGAGCAGGCGTCGCGGCAGAACTTCTTCTGGGGCGCCAAGCTCGTGCGCGGCGCTTACATTGAGCAGGTGAGTGCGCATTTTTGTATTGAACTTGGCACTCCTTTTTACCAGAGTAAATACAAAAAAGCAATTGGCAGTGGGCGGGGCACATAGCTCGTAGAGACGATGGCCGTTGGGGCAGAAAAGTTCTCGAGTGGCGACCACGGGCTGGAAGACGTAGCGTGGGCAGGCCTCCTACTAGGTGGACCGACGATCTCGTAAAGGTCGCGGGAAGAGCCTGGACCGTGCATTGTGGAAAACCTTGGGGGAGGCCTTTGTCCAGCAGTGGACGTCATTTGGCTGAAACGAACGAACGAACGAAATACAAATGAGTAGGTCATCTTCATAGAAACGCACCGAGCGCGGTTTGTGTGTGAGTGCGCCAATATACGCATGCGGCACGCACGCACACACTGACAAAATTCGGCGCAACCACGACTAGCTCCCCGCTAAATTTTCCCAGTGTGTGCGTGCGCGCCGCATACGTGTTGGCGCTCTCACATACAAACCGCGCCCGTGCGTTTCTATGAAGATGACCTACTCATTTGTATTTACTCTGTTTTTACCCACCTGCGCCAGAAGAAGAAAGAAAGAAAGATACATTTAGAAGGGTTATTTACATTTATGTATTGGGGAGATATAGCATTCATTGATTCAATATTTGTGTTTTTTAACAAAGCCAAGTCTCCAGCGCGTTTTGTCCTACCAATAAACAAAAACATCTTATCATTCAACATTTTTGCAGGCAATTTTGTTGAATGTTGACAATATGTTTTGGGGCAAAACAGGCGCTGGAGACCTGGCTTAACTTGTCAAAGTCAAAGTCAAAATTTCTTTATTTGTGTAGACTAATAAATAGTTCTTACAAATCGTCATTTTGCTCTTAAGGAACCTCTACATGTCTCATAATCTTTTTACCCTACCTTGAAATAAAGGTGGGTGGGAAACTATTCTAGATGAGACCAGTACAAGCTGAGCCGCTGTACTTGCGATGTAGTGTGGACGTACATTGAGCCTATAACAGTCACTTTCCTTTGCGACATGCAATTCTTTCGTGTTCGCCAACAAATCGAAAATAGAACGAGCACGAGTCAAACGCTCGAAACGCGCTCGTTCGAGACTCTATATGTAGGTCCACACCTAAACGAAATTTGTTTTCATACATCGCTCGTACTCAGATTCGCGTGGATGTTCTGATATAATAAATTAGTATAAAAATATTTGTTTCGGACCTCAATAATCCTTAATATCAAAATGTTGTATGTTGCAATGTGAAGTAAATATTCGCTGCAATCTTATACTAGGCGCAGACCATCGATTTTTCGCCGGCTGATAGTTAAGTCGGGCAGTTGATCAGTATGGGTGGGCATGTATGGAAGTGCGCACATTACACCGATTTGAATTGGCCGATTCTTCATTCAAATTAAGATCGGAACCAACTATCGGCCAACTAAAAATCGGTGGTCTGCGCCTAGTCTTAGGGTAATTAAGTGTGGACATCCTCGATTAAGTACTTAGGCATCTGTGCTGTGTCACAGGAAAGCCGCTCTTCCATAGCATAACATTGTACAAAACCTTGGTAGAATAGAATATGCATCTAAAACCCCTATACAAACAGTTTTATCTTTTTATTAGTAGGTATTCTTAATAGACGTAGTCTTATCATCCTTACCGATTTCCCGCCTTTTGTATTTATCTGTGCACTAATATTACTGTTTATGTATGTTTATCTAGACAATTTTATGCAGCTTTCTATTTTATTTATTTTACCAATGGTCCGTGACCCTCACTCGGCATGGGGCACACTGAAAACCAGCGCCGTGGCCTTCGTCACCGTGGGCCACGGCATATGCTGAGTGGGGTCCCGTTGCAGTGGGCATCTTGTTGGTGAATGGGTGGCACTGCTCAGTTTACTCCTGTTTTTATTTTATTTTTTTCTTCTTCCATTATTATGTGCCACTGTCATGTCTATGTAATTGCCTGTATTTGTGTGATGTCCATTGTAATAAATGTATCTTTCTTTCTTAAAATCTCAATTCCTGCAGGAGCGCGCCCGCGCGGCGGCGATGGGCTACGAGGACCCCACGTGCGAGAACGTGGACGCCACCACCGCCTCCTTCCACCGCTGCCTCAAGGAGATCCTCAGCAGGGTCAAGGTCAGTCGAGTAACAGTAGCAAAGGGACAGTAGTAGTGTGGGATTGTCACGCCTCACAATCTAAAACTTACGCACTCTACACGACCTAATTCAACCAGACGCAGGTTAGCGTACAATCCTACCTTAAAAAAAAATCTTTGGACAATTTCACACAGCGCCAGCTAGCCCCAAAGTAAGCAACTTAATGCTTGTGTTATGGGTGCTAGCTTAACGGATATACTACTTATATACTTTTTTTTTTAATACATAAATATTATACATAGTCACACTCAGACCCGTCACAGAAATTAAAATTCATCATTTCAATTTCTGCCCGGCCGGGAATCGAATCCGGGACCTCTCGGCATAGTAGCCCGTTCTGAACCACTACACCAAACGGCCGACATTACATTGTAGTTTTTCCCGAACACTATAATCCGGGCCTTTTCAATTCAAAACGAGAGTGAATAGGCACTTACAAGGCTCTCCCGCCCCCTATCTGAAACTTTCAGTGTTTGGCTGGTTTTAGTGTCACGCGGACTGTCGGTGCGCATCGCTCCGCACAGCCACGGTAATACTATCTATACAGTATTCCAACTCGGCCATATTTTTCAAATAAATGTCAACAGTCGCGCGGTACGTCACAGTATGACAACATGCGATAGGGCTGCCCACCTACAGTACCCAGTTTTATTACATCTGCCTACTTAGAATTTCTATCTTGTTTTGTGATTGTATTTTTTTATTTAGTTAGACAAACAAAATACTTTGTGAATGGAATAGGTTAAATATGTGTGTTGTTTTGTGATTAGTAGATTTAATTTATTTAAAACTACTTAAATAATTTTGAAACTTTAATAATCATAATGAGCTGTGACGTTAATTTCGGGCGAGCGAAGTCTTGGGTAAAAGCTGGTTTAATACAATATAGTCATAGTCATAGTCATAGTCATTTATTCCTTAAACAATAACATTATCGTATTGGAAATATTACAAAAAACATGAAAAATTAAGAAACGTCAACCGATATAAAATCACAAATTATGCAACACAGCATAAAACTTTAATTTTATTATTATAATTTTTATTTCAAATCATACTGAATAAAAATGAAAATGTGACTAGTTTTTGACCGTAAATGACTGTCAGTCAATTTCAATCAGTTTTGTTATTTTTAACACTTAGCTACCGACGTCCATTCGGCACATTCGCGACATCCCCGACTTTTGCATACCGAGCGCATACCGAGATTTGAATTTCGAAAGTAAATTCTCGTTTCGTCTGTTTATATGAAGTTACAATACTGTATGATATTATTACCGTGGCACAGCCGATCTGTATGAACTGCTAGGGAGCGAGCGGTTCCTCCGGACCGCATTACTCTAAAACGCTCCCTAGAAGTTCATACAGATTGGCCGTGCGAAGCGGGTCCACACCGGACGGTCCGCGTGACACTAAAACCAGCCTTTAACGGAATCTGTTGTGTTGGACGAAAGTTACGATTACGAGCATATACCTAGTATCTCATCACCGGCTCCTCCTACCGTTACCTCAAGGAGAACCTCAGCAGGGTCAAGGTGAGTCAAATACAACGGGACTATTCCCACCTCTCGTTCCCACCGCTGCAACTCCTGTGTAGCCAGGATCTAGCTTGACCACCAATAAAAACCCAACCAGTGAGGGTAAAGTTTGTTCCGAGGGAAAGTTAACTATCATTGGACCCGCAATAAAATTAATCAGAAGAACATAGGAGGTGTTCGTAGTTAAGATTCGACTTCTCTCCATTGCAAAGCGGATAACAAAGTCGTCAGTCTCCCGATCTCGCTCATGCGATATGCAATTGGTAATCTGGGTTTCTTTCCACCATGAGGGCGAGACCTATCATCTATAAAAAGACCGGAGTTTTTTGGGACTTGGACAGATGGCATAAGTTAGTGTCCTAGGGTACGCTCCACAATCTATTCTAGGCAAGCGCGACATACTTTCGTGGCACTGCTTCAGGCTATGGTTTATGGTTCCTACTTAGCTAGCTGATACATGTAGGTATAACAAAACATAGGTTGTAAGTTTAATGTCATCATCATCATCATTATTTCAGCCATAGGACGTCCACTGCTGAACATAGGCCTCCCCCAATGCTTTCCATGTTGATCGATTGGCAGCGGTCTGCGTCCAGCGCTTCTCTGCTACCTTTACGATGTCGTCGGTCCACCTTGTAGGTGGACGTCCCACGCTGCGTTTTCCGGTACGCGGCCTCCATTCCAGAACCTTTCTGCCCCATCGGCTGTCAGTTCTGCGTACTATGTGCCCTGCCCATTGCCACTTCAGCTTGCTAATCCGTCGGGCTATGTCAGCGACTTTGGTTCGTTTACGGATCTCCTCATTTCTGATTCGATCTCGCAAAGAAACACCAAGCATAGCCCTCTCCATAGCACGCTGTGCAACTTTGAGCTTCTGTATAAGGCCTATAGTGAGAGGCCACGTTTCCGAGCCATAAGTTATCACTGGTAACACACATTGGTTATACGTTATAAGTTTAATGTATTTTCTCTTAAATAATTCTGATTTTTTCCACCCACAGACTGAGAAGACAGGACTGGGCATAATGGTGGCGTCGCACAACGAAGACACCGTCCGCTACGCCATCCAGCTCATGAAGGAGCACAGCATCAAGCCCGAAGACAAGGTCGTCTGCTTCGGCCAGCTGCTGGGCATGTGCGACCACATCACCTTCCCCCTTGGTAAGTACCCCCTACACCACCATTAGTCATTGACGAGGTCTAGTCTTCTCGGATACCTAGAAAGAATGGGAGAGGATCGTGTGGTGAAGCGTACTTGGGACGACCAAGTGGCCGTCGACTCACACAGAACAGACCGGAGACTCTTATTGGTACATACCTAGAAAGAATGGGAGAGGATCGTGTGGTGAAGCGTACTTGGGACGACCAAGTGGCCGTCGACTCACACAGAACAGACCGGAGACTCTTATTGGTACATACCTAGAAAGAATGGGAGAGGATCGTGTGGTGAAGCGTACTTGGGACGACCAAATGGCCGTCGACTCAGGTAGCGCTTTAACCTGTGTGATCTCCACGTCGATTAACTGGCGACAGGTGGTGCAGAACAGACCCGAAACTCATACGCCCGTATTCACAAACATTACTATGAGGTCTCACAGTGCGCGTGGATGCACAGGATGACTTACGAACCAATCACAGAGCTCTATTCAATCATCATTCGAGCGTTCGATTTGCTGCTTCACTTAAGCAAGCATAACCATACATACCACCTCTGTAACATTATAGATGCAATAAAGAATTGAATATTGAGTGAATATGGGGGTTATTGTCGGACGCTAAAACTCACTTTGGGTCAGCTAAGTCAGTTTTAGTAGTCATTGAGATTTAGCATATGGGTATGTGCGACCACATCACCTTCCCCCTAAGTCCCTCCGATAGTATAATTAATTACGTATATCTTCTTCTTTGTTGCTACACTCTTGTTCCTGGTCGGCAGACCTGGTTTGACGGCGAACTTCACAATCCGTCGCCATTCCTCCAGGGTTGCAGCCTTTCCGAGAATGTTGACTAAGTTAGTTGCAAAGCTACTTGCCAAATGTTGGTTTCGAAGCGCTGGTAGGGCAAAAAAATTATGAGACATGTAAAGGCTCCATAAGAACAAAACTTTGAAGTTTAAGAATGTAGATGTTTGACCTTTTTTACCTGTACCCACGTGGAGTGGACCATTGACTGCGGTTGTGAACTGATCAGTCCAAAGAATAGATGAAAATTCTGCTGCTGCTCGCGTCCCTAAAAATAACCCTACTAAATACGCCAATGAGTTTCTCATTCTTCAAATTCGCTTTACAGGTCTGAACCGCAGCTATCAAATTCGCTTTACGGATCTAAACAGTAGCCTAATGGCCGCCATTTTTTTGCTTTTTTCGTTTTCCAGGGCTTCAATATCAAAATCTTAATAAATAATGTTTTTGTTGCAGGTCAAGCCGGCTACTCAGCATACAAGTACGTCCCATACGGCCCCGTGGTCGAGGTCCTCCCCTATCTGTCGCGGCGCGCCAACGAGAACCGCGGCTTCCTCCAGAAGATCAAGAAGGAAAAAGGCCTCCTCCTCAAGGAAATCTTCCGCCGAGTATTCACCGGACAGATGTTCTACAAACCAGAGGGCAAGTATACGCCAGTGTAAATCGAACTGTGTTACGGTGTGCTAGAATCTAATTTGCCGCGTGTCAATTCGAAGGGTGGACTGTCAACCAGTGGGCTGTATGGCGTCTCAATGTAGTAAGGTTGGAGTTTTTTACAAACTTGGCCTGCGCTGCCGTGCACCGGCGACGGATGGCGTGAGAAGTTTTATTTATTAGACATCACACTATAGTCATTGATATGAATTTTTGATAACAATGCATTTAAATATTTAACGGAATTCAAACAAATTCGCAATTTAAATTTTTGTTGATTTGTTCATAAATTAATTTAATTTATTAATTATTCAATAAAAATGTTTATAATTGGGACGCCATAGTCATGAATGACTGACGTTTTATACGTGGAAAAGAGACGCAGGATGCGTTCGTCTCTGTCGTTTACAGTGTTGTCAGATGCTTCGTTCAGTATTGTTTACTATAAAAAATATTATTTATGATTTTTGTCAACGCTTATTCGTGTAGTGTAAATTTAGATCGCCATTTAAAGTTGATGTTAAATTTAATAATAGTCATTGTGTTTTAACATTACGTCCATTATACAATAATTATGTCATTTGATAATATTTGTTGAGGTTGCATTTTGTGAATAATTTAATTGAGCAACCTGATAACGGTATTGTAACGGTCACTAATAAATAACTTGAAATAATTTCTAGGATGCCATTGTAATATGAAGTTTTCGTATTTCAATGCACACAGATTTCAACTTGGCTGGAAAACTGCCGTGCGCCCGTTTTGTGAAAGTATCTTTATTTGCCGAAGTTTTATTTTGGACAATAATGATATAGAGTAATAGGTACACGGTTTTAGGGATTTGAAGTACTCGTAATGTAAAAAGTTGTTGGTCGAATGATTAAATCGTTAGTAAAATTATAGGGAATGTGATTGCGAGTCTCACTAATGCTTCAACCACACCAACGCGTGTAGATCGCCATAGTCGGCGCGATCAAAGGCCAATGACAGGTAGCGTGACCCATGACAGTCCACGCGACCTGAACATTGACTTTAGCTCGGTCAGGTTAAACCGCATTAAAGGCAAAATTACGGCAATATTCTATTGTCTCCAAAGACTAAAATGCCCTAATAGTAACGCCTATACATTCGTGAGACCATAGAGTTAGGCGGAAAAAGTTTTCTTTTTCGTAGCTCATAATGTGGCAAAGGAATAACATTTTTATTCGTCTTTTATTCTCGATTCTTGTGCCATGGAGATAATCTCGAAATAGAAAAAAATGCGGATTAGTGATTTTCGATGCTGAAAATTTGTTTTTTTTTTATCCACAACGAGGAAGCTCTTGGCCTGTATCTCATCTGATGGTAAGTGATGATCAGGCCGAAGGTGGAAGCCAGCTTCACCCCGAAACTTAACCACAGAGGAACTGGCTGTCTTACCTCAAACGGCCGGAACACAACAATGCTGTTAACATTGTTGTTATGGCGACAGACTTGTGACGGGCGGTGTTAAATCGGTAAGACTCGATTTTCACACGAAAATACTTACCATATTTTCTATTTTTCGAGATGTTCTATTGTTCGAGAATCGAAGTTAGGCAGAATCTCTAGTTTGGACGTGTCGTCTCTGTAATCGTATCTACTCAATTTACTTACAAATGAGCATTTTTATAATATTTTTTGAAAGTGGTTCGTTATTTGCATTTTACACTACGTTATTAATTCTCTAAGAGATCTGACTATTTATTTGTGTACACCTGAGTCTCAAAGTTTAATCTAAACTTTAAAGAGTTATAAGAGTTGAATACTTAGTTATAATCAATGTAAATATGTACCCTCAAAATTTAAAATTATCAATACTTTTGCCGAGTGTCTTAATATCTATTAATTTACATGTTTTATAACTCTTTAGATTTAGTTAGACTGTATTTTAATCTCATAGATCTCGAGTTGATATGCCAAGCACGAAAACTAGTTAGAATTTTCCCAAAATCCCCCCTAATGTGTTCACGTTGGGGACGATTGGGAATAATATTCACGGAGCAAAAGTTAAAATACCATTTGAACAGCTAGTCCTCGTGTTTGGCGTGCTGAGTGTATCCTGTCTTTGTCTAGTCGAGCTTAAACTTTAACGCCAAAACAGTTTTCTTCTCAGAAAACTGCATTTTGGAAAGACCTTTACTCGACTGCATTCGATGGTCGTGATATTACTGTGGTCAGTTCCTACACTTATTTAGGTTTATGGATTGATTTTACCGTCACAAAACGTTGATATTAAAATGCTGCTTAGTTTGATATTCTAATTTAGGCGATTTAAAAGATCAATTTAGCTTTATTAAGCAGACTAAACGCAGTTAACGCTACACAGAATCACTAGATAGTTTACTATCAATCTTATAAATTATCAGGATATCAAACTAGGTGAAGTAAGAAGATCGATATTAATAAACGTAGCTGCGAATTGGACGCTATCATTTTTTAAATCTGACCATGTTTATAATGACGTTTAATTATTATTAGTTCAGTCAGTCATAACTTCACTGTTTTCTAGTTCTTTTAAAAAATCAGTCACGGCGTAACACGACCACAGAAGAAAATGTTTTTACTGAATAGAACTAGACTGGACTGATGAAGTGACTTGCTCAAAAAAAAAAACATTTTGAAAGCGTCCAAAGCCAGTTATGGATATGGATAAAACTATTGTCACTACTGTATTACTAAATTATCGTGAGTTCGTTGTACGTTTAGTTCCAATTGTATTTTGTTTTAGAACAATGTTATTACTTCTTATTTTAATTTATAAGCGATTTATAGTTTTCATTATCTTCGCTAATTAATTATGTGATGCTATTTTTAGATTATTTTACGAATAGACTTTTAATAAAGACAAGGCTCGTTTTGATGATTTTCTTTTATTTTATTCCTTTATATCCTGTTTTTATACTTATGTATGAATGTTTTATTTTCACAAGTTTCCTTTCGCGACATATCATTTTTAATCGACTTTACCAATATAATTAATAAATGCCTTATGTTTTACTTCTCTTTTATTTCAATGAAATATGCGAATATGAATTCGTTTTGTTCTTAAAATTTGCTTGCATTGAAATATGCTTGCATGACGGTAGACTGTAAAATGTATGTATAAAAATGACAATCATTTAATTTTATTATAAGCCTATTATTCCCATATGCCTCCCCAGAGATAAACCAAGTGGTGGCATTTGGGAATGAAGGCTAAGATGACATTTTTTGGTTCAAAAATGAATTAGTAGTTATGTAACGACTTATAAAATAAGGCATAGTCAAGTAGATATAAACAAACAATAGGTAAACATTTACCATACCTACGTTTTCTTGTAGATTAGGGGCATTTGCTACTTTAACTTTACACTGAAATGAAATTGACGATTTGGAGGCATAGTTGACGAAAATTATATCAGACAATAATATATTCGTGTATGTATGTTAACTAAATTGTATGTATATGGGTCTGCATTACTACTTATCATACGCCCTCTTTCTAAGTCGTAGATTTTTGCTTGCCACAAACGAGTAACAATATAAGATCCTACAATAAACAAAAAAAAGTAGAATGCGTTTCATCGGTGTTTCTTGTGTTTGAAACCAAATCATATCCGAATTATTTAAATACTAACACAATTCCCTTGTTTCGCTTGTTATAAGTCATAATAATTGTAATCGGATAAAAATATAAATTAAAAAAGAAACTTCAATAAATAACGAATGAATAATAACTTAAGCTATAATAATAATCCATTGCAAGCATAATATTCACAAAAAATTTATCTATGTATGTATGTTTTTAAAGGTATTTAACAGCAGCAAGCACAATCATTGACGATGAATTAGGGCTTAGATTTAAAATATTACGAGAAATAAATGTTAATGTTGAAAATGTGTTTTCATTTATTGTAATACCTAAGTCCAATTCTTTGTTTTATTTTTAACAGAATAGATTTATATCTATGACGAAAATAATATTTTTATCAATTTAAAAAAATTATAACTAAGTGGTAAATAGATATATTTTTTTAAACTTTTTCGGTGGGGCAAATGGGAAAGACAGATAAAATCAAAATATTTTTTGTCAACAAGGAGTTTATTACAATTTTATCTCGAATACACATTGTCTATACATTCAGTTCGGTTATTCAACACACATTCAAATATTTGAGATTAAGTTTAGGAAAATTAGAGCACAGCATGTTGATTATTAAAAAAAAATGAATACTTACAGTTTCAGTTTCATTTTGAGGAAATTAACAACTTAAATAAAATTCGCATGCGCTCATTTGCCGTCAATAATACTGCACACATTAAAATGAACACCCTGTATTATTTTGTTCATTATGAAGTGATTAAACAATAAAATTAATTAAAGGAAATACATTACATAATTTAAAAAGGAGTTCAATGATCAAACCTGTTCACAATTTCACATGTCTTGACTAGCGTTCGTTTACAAAATTTGTGTAAAAATACACGCTAATTTCAAATATTTTAACAGGTATTATGTTTTACTATACCTATTATGTATAATAATAACTATCAGAATGTGTACAGTGTAATTTTATGAAGAAAAAGGAAGAAATGTATATGTATTTTCTAAATAATATACCAAAATACCAAATACAGATTAGAGTATCAGGGTATTATTATATTAGTATAATTATTAATAGTTAGGTAACATATTGTTGTTATAATAAGGGTCATATTTTTAAACCAATCTCAGAACTATGGTGTTTTAGTGCGGCATAGTATGTAGGTATTCATTGATCTTAAAACTAGTGTTACAAATATACATTTTTATATGACTGATTTAATTTATTTCGAGTTTCATTTATTTAATTTTAGTTTGATTATTGGGCAAGTGTTTATTCTTAAAAGCGAGACTGGTCTTATAAAAAGAACATAGAAAGAGATCACAGTTTATCCTATACGGCTTAAGGAAAGGCCTCGATATATTTACATTATTAATATTACCTTTATAATAATTATTTTATTTTTCAATTCAATACATTCGCACTTAGGGGGCGTCCATTAATTACGTGAGACAATAATTGTACCTTTCTAATAAAAATAACTAATAATGTAGCTAGTTAGATGGTATCAATCAAAAATCAAAATCATTTATTCAGTTTAGACCACGTGGCACTTATGAACGTCAAAAAATAAAAAAATAAAAGGTAGCCCTTATGGGGCACTTTACATGTCTCCTTATCTTTTGGGCCCTACCATATATGTATACCGTACCATAATATACCGTATAGAATAAAATGTCACTATCATCATAAATATTTTTTTTTACTTAAGATAACCCAGTTTTCTGGCAATTTTACTATATCTCTTGCGGAAAAAATTACGTGATATTTCCCGAGACCCCCCCTCTCCCCCATGTGAGACTTAGTGAGGTTTTTGTTGACCCCCACCCTCCCGTACAAGGCTCACGTAATTAATGGACGCCCCCTTACTACAATTTAATCTTAGAAGCTTACTTTGTTATAAAAAACCTTAATTAATTAAGATAAATTATACATTATTATGTTTGTATGAAAAAGTTAACAATTCGTAGAAATTTTAATATTCACAAAAACATTTCCTTAAATGAGTATTCAATATTTTTGTTTTTGCGTTACATTAATTATGAACAATGATTATGTTAGTACACAATTTTGAGGCTTTAGTTTCTATAGCCTCGTAAATTTATATTGACTTAGATAATAATTATCTATTTATAGTAAGTTAATAACAATAATCCTGAATCTATTATCGGTTTGTTCTATTTGCGAGTGTATTATAATTTATTGGGACTTAAATTCTTTAGTAGGGCATTTAGCACAAGGGGTCCGTTGGGAAAAAATCTTATCACGTGGTATGGCAGTGCTGCAGAGTATATCAACGCCACTAATAGGGGCAAATGAGACAATGTTTCGTTGTGTGCAGGACGTCAGTCGAGGTTTTGCTTTACAAGACTGCATAGTAACTGGTAGGTGGTGCTAGTTTCCATAGTAGCAATTAGCAACCTGTTGCTAAGATCTATTACTACGGGGCTATTGTACCGCGGTTCAAAACGTTCAATTTGAAGGAGCCTAGGGGCAAATGGGAATTTGGTAGTAATTATAGAGTATAATAAATAATAAATTAATAAACCACACTAGACGCCAAAGCCTTGGTTGTGATTTGGCTGCTAGAGTAACGTAACTGTTGGTAATTGTAATTTTTATTCCAAATCAAGTAGAATTTTCCGTGTGCGGTTCTGCAAACACGCGACTTACGTCCGGTTCAAAACGATTCATTTAATAGAGCCTAGGGGGGCAAATGGGAATTTTGTAGAAATCATTGTGCATATACCACACTAAACGCCAGAGTCTTGGTTGCGGCACGGTGGTCGCTAGCTGATCACGTGACACGGCAGCTCCTCGCCGTCATCGGGCGCGGCCGCCGCGGCCCTTCGCTAGGACCTGTGGCGCAAAGCTTCACCTGAAAGAGTGGTTTCATTATTTTATTAGGCATTAGGCTTATTTCAGAGTGGAGGCGTGTATTATTATTATTATTGGTTTTGGGCCTTCATTTGCGCCAACTTGACCAGGTTTGATCTATTGTGGAAGCCCTTGTCTTTAGAGTTCACTGCTTAGTCCCGTTGAGTCTATAAATTTCCAGATTCTTTGGAACGTGATATCTGCTATCTCATCCGGGTGCATGATGTGTCGTCCTAGATGGATACTTCTTTTGCTCATAAGCGGGCCGCATGAGCAAAGAACATGCATGGCCGTTTCTTCTTCTGTATGGCAGAATCTGCACAGAGTTTCCTCGGAGGCGTGTAAATCGAAACGCATGTGGTCGCCAGTTGATTTCACAGTGTTCCAGCGTGCCCGCGTGGGTGGAAACTTAAAGCTCTTAGACCTCTGCCGCCGCCGCTCCACTGCTCGCAAAATTTGAGGCAGAGGCCTTAGAACTGATGGCCGTTTGGGGTAGAAGTTATCGTGTGGCGACCACAGACCGATTGAATTTTCTAGTCTATCCCTTTTTCTGTTAATTCCCCGCCATCATGGGCAGTGACTGACGTTTTAGACGCTTCATATCTCGAAGTACAGTTAGGCTGAGTTGCACCACCTAACTTTAACCGTGACTATAACGATAACCGGTGTATTTTGTATGGAGTTTGACAGATTTTTGACGTTTGTTACAGTCAAAATAAGATGGTGCAACCCAGCCTTAGTGTCTCCGCCAAGATGAGATGGCAATATTGGCTCTCCTCTTGTCTCGGACTAGACATGGGTTGTGGGAGTAGGTAGAAGTGAACTGACAGTAACCTTGGACGCCATGGGCGTATCCATGGAATTCGCTTTGAAGGAGCTAAGTCAAACTATCTGACTTAGGCCAGAAGCTGGGTACCGTACACTGTTACACCCATGTTGGACGCTATATATCTCGAGGCAAAATAGAGACCCCGCCAAGACAAGTTCTCCGCTGCCTAAGCTCGAGCGCGGCGTGCACGGCCAACTTGTTGCCCGCTCTCGCGCCGCTGTTTTCTAGAACCGGTCTATTTCATTTTACGCATAAGATCCTGCCGCTCCCGCGCCGCCGCCGCTCCCGCCCCGCTGCCCGCTAAACTCGAGGCTGAGGCCTTAGACGCTCTTTAGCTCGTTAGAGCTCCCGCTAAGGCGAGGTAGTAGTATTGTCGCAGTATGCTCTCCTCTAGCGTAGCAGTAGCGCCTCGCGAAGACAAGCTATCTTACGTCTCCGCTTCTTGAGCTCAAGCACGTCGTGCGTTGCCAGCGCAGCGGGCAGTGCCATGGTCATCTGACGTTCTCATCATCATGATCATCATTTCAGCCATAGGACGTCCACTGCTGAATATAGGTATCCCCCAATGACTTCCACATCGCACGGTTGGTAGCGGCCTGCATCCAGCGCCTTTCTGCTACCTTTATCAGGTCGTCGGTCCACCTTGTGGGTGGACGTCCAACGCTGACACGTCTGTCCACGTCTGACGTTCTAGATGCTACATATTTCGGGGCACAGTAGAGCGCCCCGCCAAGATCAGCTATATTACCTCTCCTCTGCTTAAGCTCGAGCGCGGCGTGCGCAGTTAGAGCGGCAGGCAGCGTGTCGGCCAGCGCGCCATGGCACCTTCTTGGTCTTAGACGCTCTTTAGCACGTTAGAGCTCCCGCTAAGGCGAGGTAGTAGTATTGAGGTAGTGGCACAGTAGAGCGCCCCGCCAAGTTGGGCTATCTTACCTCTCCTCTGCCTAAGCTCGAGCGCGGCGTGCGCAGCCAGCGCGGCGGGCAGCGCCATGGTCACATTCTAGATGCTACATATTTCGGGGCACAGTAGAGCGCCCCGCCAAGATGGGCTATCTTACCTCTCCTCTGCCTAAGCTCGAGCGCGGCGGGCAGCGTCATGGTCATCTGACGTTCTAGATGCTACATATTTCGGGGTACAGTAGAGCGCCCCGCCAAGATGGGCTATATTAATAATAATTTTAATAATAACATTTTTTTATCAATACTAGCTGACCCGGCGAACTTTGTTCCGCCTTAATGGCAATAAATAAGCAGACTTTTTTTTTCATTTCGAACGGGATAAAAAGTATCCTATGTCCTTCTCCTGGCTCTAAACTACCTCCCTGACAATTTTCAGCTAAATCGGTTCAGCCGTTCTTGAGTTATAAGCAAAAGTAACTAACACGACTTTCTTTTATATATGTTACGGTCAAAGTGATAAATGTGAAAATTATGAATAATCGCCGGTTATTATGAATAATTACCGCATGATTTGGTAAATGTGATTAATATGAGGTCATTTATGTGTGTATAAAACTAAATAGGCGGCTTAGGGGTGGCCCAAGGGCCACCCCCGCCGCACCTTAACCTATTTTTCACTTTAAATCAAAACATTATGTTATAGGCATCATGGAAAAGTAATATTATGCAAAAAACATTCCAAACTCATTATGCCAAATTATACTAATATATGATATCAAAACGTTCAAAAGTTTGGCTGTACACGAGCACGTACACAAGATGTTGTTCTCTTTTATGAAATTTGTTAGTACTAAGGTTGAATTATTAAATAATCACTGTTAAATGTGATTAATTTATCACTTTCACCGCGACTGTCGGGAATTATTCATAATAACCGGTTATTATTAATAATTTTCAATTTATCACATTAACCGTAACATATATATAGATAAACCTTTTTACAAAATATTTGACAATGGAATCACCCATGGATGGGCTATATTACCTCTCCTCTGCCTGAGCTCGAGCGCGGCGTGTGCAGCCAACGCGGCAGGCAGCGCGACGGCCAGCGCGGCGAGCTGTGCGCGCACGCATAGCAGCTGGCGCGCGCCGCAGCCCAGCGCCAGCCCCGCGTGCCGCGCGCCCAGCAGCCACGCCCACGCGCCGCGCCAGCCAGCGCCGCCCACGCACGCGCCCGCCTGACGGAAAAGAAATTCACTCTCATCATCAACAGCCCTTTACAGTTCACTGCTGGACTATGAGCCTCCTCCACTATAGTGGAGGGGTTTTGCCATAATCTCCACGCTTGGCAGGCGGGTTGGAGATCGCAGTTTTTCAGAGAGCGCTGCTGCCCATTCTCTGTTTGATGTGTAGTCCCTAAGTCGCCTCTTACGACACCCGCGGGAAGAGTAGGGGTTGGTGACAAATGTCTTCTACTCTGCCGTCACCACACGGCTTTCTGCCGTCACCACACGGCTTTCAAATTCACTTTAAAGGCTATGAAATCACGGTGCGATTTGCGGTGGAACGCGACGCGCGTCAGTGGTGGAATCGCGGTGAGAAGAAGCGATGACATTTATCAACGATAGCAGCCCGACGCGAAGTACCGTATTTGTGGTGGCAAGCCCCAGAACGGGGAGAATTGACTATGAGAAGGGACATGGACCAGAGAAATTTGTAGAGAGTCAAGCAAAGCGCCCGAGGAAAGGAGCCCAGAGCAAGTACCCGCGCGCTCTCCCGAGATTCGGTTCGTACGCCGTGAGGCAGGGAAGAACCTGTGGTGGTGAGATTTGTTGCTATAGTCTGGTCCGTGAGCATGTAGATTGTTGTCCAATGACCCTTAGCTAACCATCCTTATCGCTCGCGCGTAATTATGTTGCTATCGCGCTCGCACACTCACTGCGGGTGCCAGTCGCACAGTCGCGACAGCAATATAATTACGCGCGAGCGATAAGGATGGGTAGCTAGGGGTCATTGGACAAAATTCTACGTGTTCACGGACCGGGCTTTAGTGTTACTTGTTATTTGTCGCTAGTGTTACCTGCAGCACGTCCCAGAGCGCGGCGCAAGCGCCCCAGGCAGCAGCGGCGACGGCGGGTAGCGCCAGGTCGGTGCGGGCGGCGCGCCAGCGGAGCAGCGCCAGCAGGAGCGACGCGTGCGCCGCCCGCCGCCCGCGGGTACCTACTGTCGCTAGTGTTACCTGCAGCACGTCCCACAATCACGATCTCGTTGCATCAGAGGCGAACTTCAAACGGCTCAAGGCGTTCGCGTACATACAAGTGGCATGCGAGGAGGACAGTACCGAACAGTTCAGCGCCATAGGGTGCCACCCGTTATTGTGATAGTCGCAGCCCCAGAACGGGGAGAGTAGCGCATAGGGACAAGGAAATAGATCAAAGAATTTGTAGGGAGTTAAGTGTTGCGCGCGGCAGAGTGCAACCTGCTACGGCAGACGCAGTTTCGAGCGCATCTCCCGCGATTCGGCCAGTTATAACCGCAAGGTTGGCATGGCCATGGGTGGTGGTGGGTTGTGGCCGGGACCTACTGTCGCTAGTGTTACCTGCAGCACGTCCCAGAGCGCAGCGCAAGCGCCCCAGGCAGCAGCGGCCACGGCGGGAAGCGCCAGTTCGGTGCGGGCGGCGCGCCAGCGGAGCAGCGCCAGCAGGAGCGACGCGTGCGCCGCCCGCCGCCCGCGGCAGCCTGGCCGGGACCTGCTGTCGCTAGTGTTACCTACACAAGATGACGCTGTGCGAGTCTGCACTATTCCATGCGGCGAGGAAGTCGAAGAAAGCGGCGATCATGCACTTTGGGAATGTAACCTCTATGACGAAGCTCGACAGAAGATGCTGGATGCGATACGGAGAGCCGAGCAAGGACCTGTTTATCACCAGGACCTCACGAGTAGTCGCAGTGACTGGACCGCGCTGCGCGATTCGCGCACTCCTGGCACACAATCAGCCGAAGTTTTGAGAAGAAGCGATGACATTTATCAACGATAGCAGCCCGACGCGAAGTATCGTATCTGTGGTGTCAAGCCCGAACGGGGAGAATTGACTATGAGAAGAGACATGGATCAGAGAAATTTGTAGGGAGTCAAGCAAAGCGCCCGGGGAAAGGAGCCCAGAGGAAGTACCCGCGCGTTCTCCCGAGATTCGGTTCGTACGCCGTGAGGCAGGAAGAACCTGTGGTGGTGAGATTTGTTGCTAGTGTTACTTGTTATTTGTTGCTGGTGTTACCTGCAGCACGTCCCAGAGCGCAGCGCAAGCGCCCCAGGCAGCAGCGGCCACGGCGGGCAGCGCCAGGTCGGTGCGGGCGGCGCGCCAGCGGAGCAGCGCCAACAGGAGCGACGCGTGCGCCGCCCGCCGCCCGCAGGGACCTACTGTCGCTAGTGTTACCTGCTGCGCCTGCGAGACCCGTCTCCGCACCAACCGTCTCCGCACCAGCCGTCACAGCACCGAAGCCACGCTTCAGAATAGTGACGGCCCAACGCCCGCATCAAGAGAACACAGCACCAACACCTACTGCAAACATATGACTGCCTGAAAGCTCCCTGGCATCCAGGAACCGCCCGCTCGCTGGTCGTTCAATGGGCCTCGACCAACGTCGACTCACCGGTGGGCTGGTACCGCGCCGAGGGGCGGGACAGTGGTGTCAGGTAGAAGCCCAGGCAGTCCGTCGCCTAAGCGACGACAAAACTACCGACTGGCAGTAGCCAGTCGAGATGCTGCACGGGCCATGAGCACAAGCTCGACGCCCGAACCGGCCAAGAAGGTCGAAGACCTGTGATCGATCGCCCGCGGGGACCTACTGTCGCTAGTGTTACCTGCAGCACGTCCCAGAGCGCGGCGCAAGCGCCCCAGGCAGCAGCGGCCACGGCGGGCAGCGCCAGGTCGGTGCGGGCGGCGCGCCAGCGGAGCAGCGCCAACAGGAGCGACGCGTGCGCCGCCGCGCCGCCGGCCGCCAGCGCGCCCCGCCGCCCCCGTGCTGCTGCCATGCTGAGGGTGGCTGCTGCGAGCGCCTGCGATTGATTCCCAGATCAAAATCCCGGAGAAAATTTATGACATTCAAATCTATATCTCCTTATACTATAACTGAATAACTTTTAATGGCGCTCTGGACTGTAAATAAATACTTAAAATATAATAATATACTTACCTACAAAATAAATAATTATATAGCATGCATGCAGCCCTCCAAAAAATTTGCAATACCTAAACTAGGTTACTAAGTTTTAAGCACTGTATTTAGTTATAAGACCTTATGTACCTACACTTAGTGAGCAAATAAATGAATATGAATATAAATGCATAATGCAAATAAATGAATATGATTTTTCGTCGGCCGATAGTTTAGTTGCTGTTGATCAGTATGGGCATGTATGGGAGTGCGCACACTACGCCGATTCGATTTTGCCGATTCTTCATACAATTTGAAATCGGGCACAACTATCGGCCAACTAAAATTCAACGGTGTGCGCCTACTCTTAACCACTGAACTGATTTTGTTGAAATTGGCATAGAGATAGTTTGAGTCCCGGGAAAGGACATAGGATAGTTTTTATCCCGGTTTTTGAAACAGGGACGCGATAATGTTTTTCTGTGACAGACAAAATTCCACGCGGGTGAAGCCGCGGGCGAAGGAAATAAAAAATATATTAAAATAAACGTTTTACAAATACGCGAGCGTGCTAAGCTAAGTCAATGTGGGTTGGTAGTTTGGTATCATTAAACAAGACGACACACGCACTTAGGGTTGCCAGGTCCAAAATCAACAAAGCCGGACTCTGTGCTTCATTTGGCCGGACATTTTACCCTAAAGGGGGGTAAAATGCCTAACAAAAGCCGGATAGGCCGGACAAGACAATATTTGGCTGGACAAGACCGTAAAAAGCCAAACATGTCCGGCTAAAGCCGGACGCCAGGCAACCCTACACGCACTGTCAATACGCCTGGCGAGCGATCGAGCTACAGTGAAGCGAAACAAAAGGAACGGGTTTTGGTATCAAAATTCTGGTGAAAATTTGTGACATTCAAATAAATCAAGGTTTCTCAAACTTTCGGCTCCACAAACCCCTGTTAGTTTCCAGATGACAGCGAACCCTTTAACTAGCTAATTAACTCCCCCCTTCTCACTTCTCGAAAATGGCCGATGGGGCAGTAAGGTTCTGTAATGGAGGCCGCGTACCGGAAAACGCAGCGTGGGACGTCGACCTACAAGGTGGACCGACGACCTGATAGAGGTAGCAGGAAGGCGTTGATGCAGGCCGCTACCAACCGTGCGATGTGGAAGTCATTGGGGGAGGCCTATGTTCAGCCGTGGACGTCCTATGGCTGAGATGATGATGATGATAATTGCATAATTATCTACTATAGTCTGGTCTGTGAGCACGTAGAATTTTGTCACTCACTGCGGGCGCCCGTCGCACAGTCGCGACAGCAATATAATTACGCGAGAGCGATAAGGATGGCTTGGGGTCATTGGACAAAATTCTACGTGCTCGCAGACCAGGCTTTAGCCCTACCTGCAACGCGCCCGCGCCGGCCAGCGCGCGCCAGGCGCACCACCAGCCGCCCACGCACACGCCGTACCACTGAAACAGTTTCAATTGTAATCCTTTAGGCCCAGAACAGACGGTGAAATGCAACTGCAACGAAACTGCAACGTGTCTGAGGTATGGGAACGGCATGGATCAAGACGTGACAGAGCATACAAATACAAATCTGAAGTACATTTGAAGTTTCGCTGATGTTTGACGTCCCAAAAACACCCTCCCGTCGTGCCGCTCCCATACCTCAGGCACTGACTGAGTTAAGTGCTAGATTAGAGTCCTATAGTCTAGTATTTAAAATGGACATCAGCAGTTTCTCACCTTAATATAAGAAGTATAAATGAATCCCTGTTGCAGTCCAATGAAGAGACCCATAGGCGCCCCTAGCAGGGCCCTCGGGTCGCGCACGGTGGAGCGCGAGTCGGGCGGTGGCGCCGGCGCCGATGGGGCGCCGTACACGCCCGCGCTTATCGCGGCGAAGGCCAGCGCCGCCCACGCCGCCACCAGCCACCGGCGCCCGTCGGCGCTGAGCGACGTGCCGGCCACCGACTGGGTGTTGGGGCAACCAGCGGCGCCGCATGTCCGTTCCTGTTAAAATTATGACCGTCCGATACTAGGAAGGATTCAAAGTATCGTGGAAATGCCGTTTTGGTTATCCCAAAATACTGAACCCCCGATGAAAGTTATACGCTCGTTGAAGAGTGTTATAACTATACGTTTAGGCTGAGTTGCACCACATAACTTTGACCGTAACTATAACGATATAGTTCCAAAATACTGAACTGTCCTATCGATGACATTGACAGCGGGGCGCCACCGTCAATACCGAATCGCTGGTTCCGATTTTTGCCATGTTGGAAACCATAAAGTTGAACGATGGTAGCGCCCCCCTGTCATTGAGTTTGGCGGGACAGTTCAGCGTGGGTCATCTATAACCGGTGTTGTTTGTATGGAGTTTGACAGGTTTTTGACGTTTGTCAAAGTTAAAGTAAGATAGTGCAACCCAGCCTTAGTATGGAAATGTTATTTTAAAAAATAATATTAAATAAAAATAGTGTTCAATAAACATGTAACTTTTTTATGTTGTACCTGTATGGGTGAGAGAATTGTGACAACAAACAAGATTTACCTCATAATCATCTTCTAAAAAGTACTCTTCTGAAGGAGGCCATCTTACAGACGCGTTCGTCGGCGCCGGAGTCAGCTGGCCGAGCGGCGTCAAGTCCTCCGGCCAGATCATCAGCGCTCCGCCGAGCATGAGCGACCCGACGACAAGGCCGAAGTCTTGAGCGGCCCTCAGCGCCCTTAACGCTCTTCTGAGCGCGATCTTCCTCCTGGTCTCATCGCCAGCCGCTTGGGACAACGATGTCGCCGATACGTACAGCGCCAGTGACATGGGAGAAAGAGTCATGCCGCAAATGCCATACAGCGGTAGTAGAATTGACAGTGGAGTTGCAACAGTGTGAGCGGTCAGTAAGAGACATACTAGGATGTGGGAGGCGGCAATGACAATTCGAACTCCGGTTTTTTGGAGAATCAGTGGCGAGAAGGGAGCTACAATGGCGGCTATCGCATGCATGATGGCGAGTGGCATGGCCCCTGCTTCTGCTCCAGCGAAGGCAGTGAACGGGAGGAGTGCTGTGGCGCATAGACCGCTGGAGAGACAGAGAAGGGTGAATCGCTGGACGACAGGTTTGGGAACTTTTGGGGGTTGTCTGGTGAGGAGCCGGCGGACGGAGGCGGCGCCGAGCGACGACGTGGCGGAGTCCCGCCGGCGCGGCGCGACAGGTACTGCAGCTCTTGACGGCGTCTTCGGCTTTTTCCACGGCCATTCCTTCTTGCATATCGTGCTCACTGGGATCTGAAAATTGTTGACAAAATATGCTCAAATTCAAACCCTTTGGCTGAGTTGCACCAACTTACTTTATCCGTAACTATAACAATAACCGGTGTTTTTTCTAAGGAGTTTAAGGCTGAGTTGCACCACCTAACTTTGACCTTAACTATAACGATAACCGGCGTATTTTGTATGGAGTTTGACAGATTTTTGACGTTTGTTAAAGTCAAAGTAAGATGGTGCAACCCAGCCTAAGAGATGTTTGACGTTTGTTAAAGTTAAATGAGGGCTATCGTTTAAGCGCTCATCAGTTAGCGCCACTGTAGAGTAAGGTCCTGTCACTTGCTAGTAGCGAAGACAGTGGCGCCAACTTGTGAGCGCTAAAGTGGTAGGAGGACTATCGTATTTGCACTCATCAAGATGGCGCCACTGTAGAGTAAGGTCCTGTCAATCGCCAGGGGTGCCAACTGTTAAGTATAAAAACGATAGCCCTCATTAAGATAGTACAACTCAGGGTTAGCCTTAGGGTAATTAAAGTTACATGCGGAGGAATGTCATTTAAAGGTTATAGCAGACTTATCAACTGTGAAAGGGATGAACACTGTATCAACTTTCGCACGCTGTCAACCACGAGGTGTAGGCGTTGACGTTAAAGTGCGGATAAGTGTGCGTTGCAGTATGAAGTTAAGTTAGTAAACTGGATTGGCCACACTCTCCGAAGGGACCCCGATCACATCCCCAAGCAGACTCTGGATTGGAATTCCCAAGGAAAACGCAAACGTGGTCGACCAAGGCAAACTTGGCGGCGCACTGTAGCGGACGAGGCGAAGAACATCGGCAAGACCTGGAGCGAGATCAAGCGAGAAGCTCAAGACCGAACGAGATGGAGGACTGTTGTGGACGCCCCCTGCCCCATCTAGGGGACATAGAACCATAAGTCAAGTAAGTCAAAGCAGTATGGAGTTTCATACAAAGAATAGGTACTGATGACCGCCTCGAGTTGATACGGTTACGATCCCTTTCCGGGTTGAAAGTGTGTTACGACCTTGAAACTGTTGTTCAACTGCACTCCCTGCTCCCCTCGGTACGCCCATGGTCCTAAATTCCTAATCCTATGCTGGATTTACACTATGCGGAAATTAGCTGAGTCAAGTAAAAAAAACAGAGGAGTGGGGATGAAATTCATTCATTTTTCATCCCCACCCCACCCCCCTGTTTTTTTGACTTGACTTAGCTAATTTCCGCGCAGTGTAAAAGCAGCACTAACCTCGAAGGTTAGGTTAGGTTATAAAAATGCCCCAGCACTCATTTCTATGACAAATGGCATGATTTTGTATGGAAAGTGAACTGAAAGAAACTGAATTGCCCTTACAAAAATTTTTGACGCTGTGGGCAATAGCGCTATCAAACTTCTAATGCTCGTAACTCAGTTCAGACTGAGTTTAGAGGTATACATGTCATAGTAAGTTTGGTTTATTACACTATTTTGTAATCAAAAAACAAAGTTTGGTCGATGGCCGCGCGAAAAAAAAAGACGCCAATTTCCGGCATTGTCTTTTGTGTAAGTAATGTATTCATTATATACCTACCTGGGCAATGATCGCTCGGTGCCGGTGCGGGTCGGACACCGTCCGGGCAGCGGCGCGTCCGGCAGCCGGACGCGAGCGCTCGGTCAGGTCCGGTAGGCTGCCCATACGCACTAATCACCTCGCGCGCATGCCTGAAATAAAATCACTTAACATTTAGGGGCCATTCATATAATTATGTACGGGCGGGAGGCAGTGTATGTAAGGCACCGGTCCCGTGCCCGGGATATGAGGTCAGGAAGGGAACTAACTCCCTAGTGAGGCTAGAGTCCCTATTCCCTAAGACACTAAGTCCCTAGAGCCCTAGCCCTGCCTAACAATAGATACTTAGACATAATAAGGGTTTGATAGGAAGGAAGCTGTGCTAATGTACGGGCGGGAGACAGAGGTTGTAAGGCACCGCTCCCGTGCCCGGGATTATCGTTAATACATTTATGAAATGTCTTGTTTTGTGAAACAACATATGCATTATTTTAAAAGGGCTGCAGAGATATACCCCAGGAACACTAGAGATCCTGATAGGCTGGTGCATGCTTTTGCGCCGAGAACAACATTGTTCCAAAAAAATTGTTACTCTATGGGCATCAAAATATATATGTCACCGGAAAATAACAAGACTCGTAAGTTGATCAATTTTCTAGGTAGTTGATCAACTCTCGGAAAATAATAAACGGCAGTTGAAATGTACTATTTAACGCATTGAATTTTAGCTAATTGGTCAACTTACGGTGCCTAGCCGTAATTTAATAATTAACTATATTGCTACAAGTAAAATCATCCACAAATGGACCAATCGTTGCCCAGTGTACTATTTGACGNAATTTGAATTTGAATTTGACGAGGTACAAATCCGCGACCGCTGCGACAGACGAATCACTAGGACATAAAACATTTCAACGTCAAAGTACCGTTCTTTTTGATTAAAATAAGACATAGAAATAAAATATGTAGTTATATAAACATTGAATTGATTTTGGACAACCTATGATGTGGATAATTAGGTAAAGTTATGAGCAAGTTACATTGGCTTTATCACAGAAATTCTGAAAACCCCAACGAAAATGAAATGAAGAACCAAAAAGCGAATCACGAATTCGGGTTTCATTTTCAAGATGAAAATCTAATTTTCAACTTAATTAATGTACGACATGTTTAACGTTTTTCTTCTAAACTGTAATTTTATTGAAGAAAAGTAAGTTAGTATCACTGAAACCATGCAATTCTTTATTAAAAACGTCAACTTTAAACACCTTATTCAGAATAGCTACACGATAATTGTTATGATTTCCATTACAACAAAGACTTTGCCGTTCTAAGAAAATCGTACCATACCATATTGAACTACTAGATGTAGCCTTCTGAATTCAAATGTTCGTAATCAACACAGCAATATTACTAGAGTACAAACGAAGGCATTATAAGCTAAACACAAACGTCTTAATGTAGTTGTAGTAGAAGCTACTTCGCAAGAAAACTGTACATTCGAGCATTGATCATAGAAAAGAATAGTTGCCTTCCATGCCCCACCAACTTGTCTTCGGGCCTTTGCCCCACTGCCTCCGAGTTTCCACTTTCCACGTAGTGAAGTTGGCCACGAGTGGGCGGGGCGAGGGGCGGGGCGGGGTGTGGCGCTCAGTGCGCGCTCGTCGCCGCAATGAGACGCGTCAAACGTCTTTCCCGCGCGCGCGAATGTCAAAATCCGATGACGTAAGTTTTTAAAGTTAGGCAAGCGAAGAGGTGAGACGCGCAATAAAANATGAAAACTTTTTGTTCAAAGTACTTAGGTAGGTACATTTTGTGTTTTCAGCCATGATGAATGATCATTACGATACTTTTAACATGCTTTATTGGTTTTTTTTTTATACAATAACATGTTTAATTATTTCTTATTAGACTAATAAAAGACAAAAATCTAAACATTCAACTTTTTTAAACAACCATACGATCGATAGTTTATTATTTTTAATTGGATGAAATATTTTTTGTGCCAGTGTTAATTATGATTTTTTGAAATTAGAAGGAATTGATTTTGTTTTTTTCCATATAAGAATTCCTTGCCTTTCGGAAACTAGAGTAATCTGAAATTATCGTTGACTTGACACTGCTCTATTTTTTCTGCGCTTGATTTTTACGAGGTAACAAGCACAGGCAAAGACATCCAATCAAACAGGTGAGCGAACGCATCTATAATAAAGCGACTGACCTTTACCTACACTATTTGTCTTTGCTCATGACTTATTCATGACTCCTGTATAGGCTTTTTGCCGCGTAAAGCGCTTATAAGTACTTATAAAGTTTTACGCTCGGTGCGTTTTAATTGATTTGGACTTTATTGGTTGAATATAAGAGTGGTTTTTTGGTTGAGCGGAGTGCAGTTAGTGTTGTGTTGTGCAGTAAGGTCGATATTATAATTGGAGGGACATTGTTCTGGTGCAATTTGATCGGGAGAGCGGTGGCATGCGTTGCAAAAACCGATACTTGAAGGCATCGATAGATTACGGTTTTTGCCACTAGCACGACGACATTGTTGGGGACGTCAATTAGAGATAATGATGAGCCGTGTTTTTGATATCTGTGTTGTTCGGTCTTAGCCACGATTTATGGCTAATTTTCGATGCGGTAAGGAGACGGTGCTTTTTGTAATAAACGCCTTCGTTAAGACCTTGTAGTTCAGTGTAATGTAAAAACTATGAATGAACTTTTTCTTTCATAAAAGGCTTTTAATTAATTATGAGATTAGTTAACAAGTTTTTGGAACATTGAACTAATTTAAAATTGTTGAGCTTAGAGTCAATGAAAACGTTGTTATTTATGTGGACTGTACTGTAACTTCAAATTCAAAAAATACTATGAATTTGATTTATAATAGATATGGGGTCATATTATTAAGTAACAATTCCAGTTTACCAATTCAGTTGTACCTACCCATTCAATAAAACACTTACATTGGGTAGGTTAAGGTATCTAATTTCTTTCTTTCTTTCTAAAATATATCGATTCACTCAGAATCTTTTTAACACACTCTAACTACATACCTATTTACTATGTATAATATGTATGTATAAAAAAAGGATTTAAGTATGTTTATATCCGTTGTGTAGTACCCATAATAGTACAAGCTTTGCTTAGTTTGGGACTAGAAGCGCAGTGTAAAATGTCCAAGGATAAAAAAACTATGAAAAATACTAGCTATTAAAGAGGTGAAATTAAAGAGCATCTAAGATATAAAACAAACTTGCATAATTTCCTCCCTTTTCCTTCGAGTCCTTTGTTCATTTAATACCTTTGTTCCATATAAAACCACAATAAAACTAAGTCCGAAGACAAAACGCGTGGCCGCAGGAGCAAAGACCTAACCTGTTCATTGTTATAGGAAAATAATTACTTCACTTACTGTGCTATACTAACCGCCATTTGTTACTAGGGCTGCCACTTGGCACTTATTTTATTTAGAATGTTCTAGTGCAATTCATTAAGTAATCCAACGAATAAAGATGCTTCCACAAGACAATCCAATCAAAATTAAGACATTTGAAATACCTACTTGGAAACTATGAATGGGTGATTTTGCTTATCATAGCTATTACCTACTTATCCTAGTAACAAATAAATAATGTTGTTTGACATTCACAAGAAAATTTTCATTTATAAATGGGCTAAATTAGATTTGCTATTAAGCTAATAACACTCTAAAACTGATGTAGAGTTCATGATACACACGGCAACCATTACTTAGTCACAAAAGGTGCTGAAAGATTATTTAAACTCCATCTTTAAAATTACTTTTTTAATAAAGAATTAAAAACATAACATAGACAAGTTTTAAGTAGTTTTCCTAAACTTGTCTAATCAATTCCTATTTTCTAGGTCTGTACGACCACCATTGAATTTAGTTTTTAACCTTTTAGCCTTAAAAACACAACACAGCCAAGTTTTCAAGTAGTTTTCCTAAACTTTCCTATTCATCCCATCTTCTAGGTCTCTGCCAGCCNCAATAAAAACTTTTTGTTGAAATTACTTAGGTAGGTACATTTTGTGTTTTCAGCCATGATGAATGATCATTACGATACTTTTAACATGCTTTATTGGTTTTAATTATTTCTTATTAGACTAATAAAAGACAAAAATCTAAACATTCAACTTTTTTAAACAACCATACGCGCGATAGTCCATTATTTTTAATTGGCTGAAATCCTATTTTTTGTGCCAGTGTTAATTATGATTTTTTGAAATTAGAAGGAGTTGATTTTGTTTTTTCCTTAGAATTCCTTGCCTATAGGAAACTAGAGTAATCTGAAATTATCGTTGACTTGACACTGCTCTATTTTTTCTGCGCTTGATTTTTACGAGGTAACAAGCACAGGCAAAGACATCCAATCAAACAGGTGAGCGAACGCATCTATAATAAAGCGACTGACCTTTACCTACACTATTTGTCTTTGCTCATGACTTATTCATGACTCCTGTATAGGCTTTTTGCCGCGTAAAGCGCTTATAAGTACTTATAAAGTTTTACGCTCGGTGCGTTTTAATTGATTTGGACTTTATTGGTTGAATATAAGAGTGGTTTTTTGGTTGTGCGGAGTGCCGTTAGTGTTGTGTTGTGCAGTAAGGTCGATATTATAATTGGAGGGACATTGTTCTGGTGCAATTTGATCGGGAGAGCGGTGGCATGCGTTGCAAAAACCGATACTTGAAGGCATCGATAGATTACGGTTTTTGCCACTAGCACGACGACATTGTTGGGGACGTCAATTAGAGATAATGATGAGCAGTGTTTTTGATATCTGTGTTGTTCGGTCTTTGCCACGATTTATGGCTAATTTTCGATGTGGTAAGGAGACGGTGCTTTTTGTAATAAACGCCTTCGTTAAGAACTTGTAGTTCAGGGTAATTTGAAAACTGAATGATTTTTCTTTCCTATAAAACGCTTTTAATTAATTAACTTAAACTTTATGAAATTAGTTACCATTTTTTGGGACATTGAACTAATTTAAAATTGTAGAGTCTATGACAACGTTGTTATTTATGTTTCCTGTATTGTAACTTCACAAATTAAAAAAATATTTTGAAATGATTTATTTTATAACAGCTAGGGGTCATTATATTAAGTAACAACTCCAGTTACAGAT